GAAGGCAGGCGGTGGTGGAAGGCAGGGGTGTGGTGGAAGGCAGGGGTGTGGTGGAAGGCAGGGGGTGTGGTGGAAGGCAGGGGGTGTGGTGGAAGACAGGGGGTGTGGTGGAAGACAGGGGGTGTGGTGGAAGGCAGGGTGTGGTGGAGCAGGGCTGGTGGAAGGCAGGGGTGTGGTGGAAGCAGAGGGTGTGGTGGAAGGCAGGGGTGTGGTGGAAGGCAGGGTGTGGTGGAAGGCAGGGTGTGGTGGAAGGCAGGGGGTGTGGTGGAAGGCAGGGGGTGTGGTGAAGACAGGGTGTGGTGGAAGGCAGGGGGTGTGTGTGGAAGGCAGGGGTGGTGAAGAGGGGTGTGTGGAAGGCAGGGGGTATGGTGGAAGCAGGGGTGTGGTGGAAGGCACGGGGTGTGGTGGAAGGCAGGGGGTGTGTGGAAGGCAGGGGGTGTGGTGGAAGGCAGGGGGTGTGGTGGAAGGCAGGGGTGTGGTGGAAGGCAGGGGGTGTGGTGGAAGACAGGGGGTGTGGTGGAAGGCAGGGGGTGTGGTGGAAGGCAGGGGGTGTGGTGGAAGGCAGGGGGTGTGGTGGAAGGCAGGGGGTGTGGTGGAAGGCAGGGGGTGTGGGGAAGGCAGGGGGTGTGGTGGAAGGCAGGGGGTGTGTGGAAGCAGGGGGTATGGTGGAAGGCAGGGGGGTGTGGTGGAAGGCAGGGGGTGTGGTGGAAGGCAGGGGGTGTGGTGGAAGGCAGGGGGTGTGGTGGAAGGCAGCAGGGGGTGTGGTGGAAGGCAGGGGTGTGTGGAAGCAGGGGGTATGGTGGAAGGCAGGGGGTGTGGTGGAAGGCAGGGGGTGTGGTGGAAGGCAGGGGGTGGGTGGAAGGCAGGGGGTGTGGTGGAAGGCAGGGGTGTGGTGGAAGGCAGGGGTGTGGTGGAAGGCAGGGGGTGTGGTGGAAGACAGGGGGTGTGGTGGAAGGCAGGGGGTGTGGTGGAAGGCAGGGGTGTGGTGGAAGGCAGGGGGTGTGGTGGAAGGCACGGGGTGTGGTGGAAGGCAGGGGGTGTGGTGGAAGGCAGGGGGTGTGGTGGAAGGCAGGGGGTGTGGTGGAAGGCAGGGGGTGTGGTGGAAGGCAGGGATGAGGGGTGGAGCATCTAAGCTGAACATAGTTCAGCTAACACTCTTGGAAAAAGGCGCCATACTTGACCATCGACAAATCACGCAACACATGGAAAGCAAATTAATATCTTTAGAATGTGTAGGGCATTATGATGTAAGCGACGAGACATATCGGGTCAATATTACACTCCGCGTCGAGTAATATCTAATCATGAAGGCTTGATAAAGCTGTACAATAAGACACAATCTTACGAATACTACGACTGCTACTCGTAGACGTAGCAACTTCGGTAGCTAGACTTTACCTGGCAAGGTCTGGAAATCTTGGTATTTACAATTTTTTGGTAACGAATAGCCCTTTGAAGCAAACTCTAAGTAAGCCATTGGTTGCTGCACGACAGAGTAAGACACAATAAGCCTAATTCTGGAAATTTAGAAATGATGGTAAAGGCAGTAGTACAAAATTTGTACAATGGTTCTGAGGGCAAATACTGGATATAAATGGTTCAGAGAACCGACAAGTTGATAAATTAGACAGATGTACAATACTTCGGTATCTTTTTTGAGGAAACGTTTTGACACACAGTGGCTTCATCAGTCCAACACAAAAAAGAATAGCTAAGATCAGAAGGAGACTGAGTTAATCATTTCTTCAGCCTGGAGTTGATGTAATCAGTCCATCAGTCAAGATTGATGGACTGATTACATCGACTCCGAGCTGAGGGACTGATTACTTCAATCTCCTTCAGATCTTCACTAATTTTCTTTGTACTGGACTGGTGAAACGTTTCCACAACAAAGATACTCAAGTGTTGCACATGTGTTTAATTTATCTACTGTAGATACTGCAGGCAATATGGTACATTCTGAAGATGTGACCAATGAGAGCTCATTAATTACTGGTTGTTATACTGGGAAAGACCTCGTACAGACGAGGACAGGTCCATCTGTGGGATTGTTTCGTAACGACAGTCAAACTCTGAATCTAAGATGGAAGAAATGTTTCATTCTCGGCAAGCATAAGATAATGACACAAGTTGAAGAGCAAACTTTTACTGGGAGAACGTCTCGCTCTGTATAGAGCTTTATCAAACTATACAAGGAGAGGAAGTGTGAGTGAGGAAGACGACACTAAATAGCTTAAGTTCATGATCTTGATATCTCCTGTGCCAGGTAAGTATACCTTTATTATAACCACGTCTCGCTTCCAGGGAAGATCATGTTATGCAGAAGACATGCAAACTACTCTTGATATGCAATGTTCAACATATGTAGGTAAGGAGTTTACATGTATTCTGTATAACATGATCAGTTATGATTAAGGGGGATGGGTAAGACCGCTAAACCCGTAGGGTTCATACAGGGTCTGGGAGAATGTAAGGTAATCACGTTATATCAAAGTAAGGAAAAATCAGAATCAGTTACTTGTATCAAGTCCATCACTGGCATCAAGGAACCTTGAAGCCAAACCTCACATGATACTGACAACTTGACTCGCATCCACTTTCAAAACACAAATACAGAAGAGGCAGACTCAGCAATCACTCCGAAGACAGTGA